AAGAGGCAATTCGGGCTTGCCAGAAAATGCGGAAGCTCGCGTCGTTCCAAGTAGACAGATGCAGGCACGGGTAGGTATGTAGGCTGAGAAGATATGGCTATGCTTGTTCTCAAGCACTCACTTCGTCGTTTTCACCCGGCCAGATCTATGTTTTTAAAGCGGAACCGATCCTCATGCTGATACGAGAATTTGCACCTGTGCACTTCATGAATGAATCATCACTTGTTCCGGAGAGTGAAACCATGAAACAAAGGCAGGAAGAACTCGGTCGCCGAGCCTCACATTGACAAAAGGATAAAAACGAACATGCGCGGATGTCATAACTGCGGAACGGAGGAAGACGGAAAAAAAAAAGGCCGGAGGTTCTTGGCCGGGACATGTCAAAATGCAGATGAGTTCGAGTTCGTTCTGCTTACATAGCCAGACTCAGGAAATCGTCTTGTGGGCAAACGGTGCTCGTGGCTCCGGGTGAACCCTCGCTGGCATGCTCAGGAAATGAACCTCGCGCGCCGAGAAGGAATGTGGACATTTCGGTCGTAAAAGCTCAGCTGTATACTCACCTCTCCGGTCCTGTCCTTGAGAACACTCCACGTCTTCATTGACACCACGCATAATCGCATTCACGACTGCAAGCCGCGGTGGTTTTCATCTCTGGATACAAGCTTTCACCGGCATTCGCAACACTTTCCCTTGTTCACTGATTCGGCAATAAAGAGACTGATGGTCCTGGCATAGGCCCGTCACGATCTCCTCATCGCGGTGGACTTACGGCATGACGAATCTATACAACTGGCGACATTACAGTGGAAGGGGCGGAGGATATGTGGTGTACGTGGGGTTTGGCTTTCACGCTTCGAGTGCCCAGGTAGAACTGACGAGGGGGCTAGCACGGCGACGTTCTTTTCTTCTTTCAAACCCCTCCCCCCACCCCCGGTTTGCAATCCTCGCCCCAGGACAAGGAGGAAATGGAGGACTTACCGTAAAAAGACTCCCAATCATCTGACAGGTCGTCTCCATCCATGGTCGGTAATGAGACAGCAAGTCCTCTTGAATCGGGGGGCCTCTCTCGACCATCTGACGGAATCAGGGTTCGCCCTGCATATTATCTAGGCTTTGTTTAGAGTATGGGGAGTCACGTCACACATCTGTGGGGGGAAATAGGAACGAAAAAGTGAGATATGCTATCACGTGAACAAGCTATGACAAATGCTCTTGTTCTCCCTGCCTCTCCTCCTCCCTGGGAAGCGAGATGTAAAGTGATCTGCTCCCGACTGATCCGATTTCTACTCTCAAATAGGCACTACTAGAAACTAAAATGGTGTGAGATTTCTGATTCTCGACCAAGGACAAAAAGATGGAAAGTGGTTAAGAGCGAATCTTGACGAGTCACTAGAGGCGACAGGAAACTATGAGACTCATCGGTCGTGAGCCCCAGGAGGACAAAGGAGAAAAGGACCAAAAGAAAGGAGAAGAGAAGTTGATTATCCTAGGCGTTTTTCCCCCACTGAGCGGGAGGGAATCGACCAACGACCCCAACAAGACGTGATTCAATGTCAACTATGTGAGGAAATTCCCAATCACCAAATCCACGGATCTGATAGGCTAAATGAACATTCATTCATGCCCCCCTCTGTTCTGGCAAAACATTCCCAAAACATGCCTGGAAGGCAAGGGGAAACTCGTTGAAAAAAAAAAAAACCGTCTCTTATTCTTAATTTACTTTTTTATAGTCCTCGTCTGACTTGACAGCAGACGTTGACAAGTAAGGCAGCTTCAGCCGTCATCATGAAAGGCCCAGGGATTGCACCCTCCTTTTCAGGTCGCAAGAGGCAAGGGATTTGGAAAATCGGATAGAGCTTTGGTTATCACCAGGTGGGGGGTCAGGTGGGAGCACGAATGCACACTAGTTTCCTCTGGACCTCCCAGTTGGAAGAATGGAAAGGGTGGGGACTCTCCAGAAGAAGAGGAAGAAAAAATAGCTCACCGAGGGTGAGGGGTGCTATGAGAATGAACCATTCCAGCCCGTACCCTACCCACTATTTATATTTACGAAAGGAAGTTGCTCTCATTCCCGTTCCGGCCGGATATGCGAGATTCATGACCGGTTAAATTTACAATGCTCTGCGGCAGCAACCATACCTTTTTGCGATACTCGGTTCAACGGGAGTATTGTTATCCACTGTAAAAAAAGAGAACAGAGAAAGCGGAGCTACCATTACCCTACAATTCAAATTTTCATTGCCTGGTTGGGGGCTTTGATGGAGGCAACAACTGGTTTTCGTGCGACAAAAGGAACCCATAACAGATATATGAAGATAACCGAGTGAGTTCAGGAAAGAATGACAGATAAAGGGATTGCGCGAATGCTTGTGCAAGCATCGGTAGGGCCGATCCTCTGATACAGGAAGATGGTTTGCCTGGGGCCAGATAGTCCAGCCTGTGAAACTCACTTGTGGCGTTCGTACTTCGTGACTACTGGTACTCATATTTTCATTGCGCTTCAAGAACGTACAACCCTATCCTCCCCCCTGAACATGGGGACACAATGCTCGGTTGGCGGGAAAGCAGGTGAACAATGCAGCAGAATGTGTCAAGCGATCACGCCCTAGGCCTAGACCCGAAACAAGCACGAAACACACAAACACACACGTGTTAAGTCTCATTCGCAATGAGAAGACACCATCACATTTTAACTGCCGCAAAATAAGCGGAAGAGGTCTTGGTGCACGTAAACCAGTCCATTTCACGGGAATCACGAACGTAAAAACGACGGCAGAGTCTCCAAAGCCCAGGTTTCCACGACCGACTCGGGATGGTTGACGGGTTGGGAGTGAGAAGCACGCTGCCTTTGCCGCAATGCCGCCCCGCAGTGTCTCTAGCGGACGAGTCCATGCACCCATCGGGGGTGGACGGGTGGATCCCCCCCCTCTCCCGCTGCTACTCCCGGGAGCGGTATTTGCGATACGAACACGCTTTTTGGGGACAAACATATGAAAATAAACAAGAAACATATGGAATATAGCAATGCTGCAAACCGTTTCCTCTCGCCTTTCTCAAAGAAATCACGTCTTACAGTAGCAGAAATCATCTGACATACGTTGGAGTTACTGGCTGGCTATGACCTGGCTAGGTAAACTGGCCGTTTTCTGAAAGAATTTGTCATAATTATTGTTAACATCATTGATTGACATCACGGATTTCACGAAAAACGGTGACATTCATCATCCAACTCATGCAGAACACGAGTGGGAGTGAGGATTGTGACCCGTTCATGAGGCCTGAACAATCGCCGGGTCCAACGCCCATGACCTTTCATTGTTCTTGACAACTTTAGTGAATCCAGAGATAGTAAGAGGATATCTGGAACAAAAATCTGGTTCCACATGCTACTTCCGCTGTCAGTCAGTACGGAGTGTAATGGGCAACTTGGCTTCCATTTATTTTTTATATGGAGGAAGCAAATAATAATACTGGCATTTGGAGGTCACTCTTTAATAATAAAATTAAAAAGGCATTTGGCGGTCATTATTACTGGTTGATGATTTGTAAATTGAGTTTGGTGGTCATAAAAATAAAAAAAAACTTTTTTTTTATAGTAAAACCCAGCGAGAATCTTTGAAGAATCGTCCAAGATTTGGAACGGGATTCCTGTGAATGACCTCCATTTCTCCTGCCGTGTGTGACCGGACCTAGAAATTCCTTCAGACATCGTTTTCCACTTCCACGGACAGAGATGTTGATTTTTATCGTCTTGACTATTTTCTCCGATCATCTTCATGGTTTTCTCCTCACATCTTCCCCCACGATGTCATGACGAGAGGGAATAACGGTTCTGAGGCACCCAAAAACGTGTGACAAGGGAATTCTTGGGACACCCAGGAATCCACCCCCCCTCCCCCGGTAATCAATATAGCAATTAAATGCCCCTATGCATCGGCAGGTGTGGCAGCATGATCCAAGGCCTTCTATTCCACGTTTCGCATTCTATTTGAACAGCTGGAAGAAAAATGCCGACCAACAGCGGATAAATGGGTTCGGTTGTGAATAGGGGAACCTCCTTGGCCTTGGACAGGTAGACAGAGTCAATTGACCGAAGGGGAGCCACTAAATCTCCCTCTTCAATGGCCGGCTCTCATTCTTGCTTTCCTTCTTCATCCAAGCACCGTCGTTCAAAGACTGGTTTGTACTTGGGAGAGGGCTTGAGGCTTTGGAGATGCATATCGATCACGTCCTTGGCATAGAAAGCCAATCTATATAAGCCAACAAGTACCAGACTGGCTCTTCTTCGAGGACCATCAGTCAGTGTCACAACAGCGTCTACTTGGCAATCATACACTCGGTATGTGTGCAGATGTGCAACGCAGAAGGTAACTGCCTCCGGGCTGCATTTCATCCCGTCGGATCATTAAAGGACGAAGATGAATTTCGTAATCGTTTCCTCCACTAGTGACTTGGCGGAGAAACCTCATCCTCTCTGGAATCGTATCTCCACGAGAGATCTTTTCACTCCGACCACTCTGTTGTGTCACTGGGAACCGGTAGGAATGGAATGGACTGGGGTTGGACTCTTGCCCAATGTGCTTCACACGTGGACGTCACCCTTCTCTTCCTGTACATGTATGTACAGTAAATCCTCTTACAGGTGATGGCACGAAAGAAATTTGTTCAGATCCCACAGAGAAGTCTAATTAACAAAAGTGATCCATACAATGAAGTAAATACTGAAGGGAGAAAGAGAACGCAATCCATTTTACCTTTGGTGCTCAGTCCATTCCTGCATGTGGACCTTCTTCCTATATTTAAAATCTAGTAGCTTTGTCATCTTGGTAGAGTTTATGTTCGTGTGTGTGTGTGTGTGGGGGGGGGGGGGGGGAGGGGGGAAATGTTAATGGCTTTGAATGACTAAGTTTTCATTGGTAGGAAAGGAAAGCAGCTGAATTAATATTAATAAGAAGAAACACACTATAACTAATATCAGAAATGAAAGACTATCCATATGTATAATGATCTAGAGACTTTATTCATTCTTAGAGGGGAGAAGACAATTATACAATTTATCATGACTCATTCTTTGATAAACACTGCATGAAAAAATGCAATCAGACTGAAAATCATGAGTAGAATGTGATAAAGCACACAGACTCAAACAACTATAATTCCCAGGCTTCCAACATGGGTTCTAGAGAGGCAATCACAAAAATTGACAAAGGCCAGGAATGAGGTTCATCAGGAAAAACAATGCACATCACATGAACTCATTCTCATATGATGCTAAAATGGTAAGAGAACATACCAGATGAGACCTAGAGATACAATCCATTGACCAGATAGTCAGAGTCATGTTCCAAGGGTGGTCGGCCACTTCGACGGAGCAGACGACGGGGATTTCTAAGTCGGCAAACAATCAGTACAGCTAGCAATGCAGTCACACACAGACCTGTGGATAAAAAAAGAGTAAAAGAAGATATATGACTTCAACTGAATGAAGAAGCATCAGTTTACTTGCACTCTGCACCTGCCAACTTAATATTAGATCAGGTTACATGTGTCAGGTATTTGTCCTCTTTGAAATCAGGAAATTCACAGGTGTATGAAGAGCTTCATGATGGCCAAAGAATATTAGATGTCACAGAAATAGCAGAATGAGTAATAGCATGCTTACCAAGAGTAAGAGCAAGCACAGCTCCACCGGGGTCTAGACTCTCTGCAGATTCCTCATCATCCAGCATTGCCAACTCCAACTCAAGCTGATGAATGGACTTGTGAGCTGGAGCAGGTGATCCTTCAATCTGACTGCCAGCAGGATTTTCATTTTTGACATGGTTTTCCACTGGAATGAGAAGTGGTTTCATTTTGATGGTATGACTCTATTACTCCTGCACATCTACAGGATGGTTGGAAAAAAAACTTAGTATCCTGACTCCTTGCCTGTCTGTGTCAGAAATTCCCAAATTATTAGGCTTGGAGGGCAGAATAATGGGATGATTCTATCTAATACACCAATGGAGACTTCTCCTTTTTCCAAACTTCACATACTCCCTTATATGTCTCATGTTATACACTAAAAAATGTGGTAGAATTACATTGGAAAGACTGAATAAAACAACAGTACTGATGGTTAACTTAAAATGAAGAAAGCATATTTAGAGAAATGTTACTCAATTGGGAAACTGATGCTGAAAATTCATATGGGTTCCAATATATCAAAGCTTATAGAGTGCATGAGATTGGCAACTTTGACCTTTGTTTTCCTGTTAGGGAAAATACCACTTCCTTTTAAATTAATATTGAGCAAATTTCAATATAAAAGTAATTAAAATATAAATAGTTCAAAACATTACATATAAGGTGGTGTAAAAAAAGACCTATTTGACACCTTATGAAACCAACTGTGGAATTATAGGTGCATAATTTTTTTGCATAGCATTGATAACAATACAAAACTTGTTTCCTGAAAGTAGAAAGCATCTAGGTTGTCTCGATATAAAGAGGCAGTCATTCAAAATGTGCAGTAATAAAACATGGCTTTTTTTTCACACAAGGTGGATGTAGTCTCAGTGGTGTTCATGAGGTTCTCCCAATTGATGCCATACATGCTGTCCTTTATGCCTCATCAAAGTATGAAGTGTCTTTAAGCTTCAGGTGAGAAGGTTAAGACAGAATATGATGGTGTGTATAGTGTATAAGGACCTGGGAGGGAAGAGAATAGTGAGGGTTTCCTATCAATTTGTAAACTCTGTTTTACTGAGTCTCTTCCCTCTCCAGTCCTTTTTTAAACACTTTTGTGGGCAAATTTTTTCTAATGTGCAGCCTTTCCATAACATGGGGAGGGTCAAACATTTTCTAGGAAGTACACTTACCAATGCCTATGAAAGGGTTAAAAATGCCACCTTAATACAGTGAATTTTCCTTTGAGGGATATGACACAATGACATTGCAGTCAAGAACATTGCAATATGAATGCAGCCGTAAGAAGCAGACTTTTTGATCACAAAAGGACCCATCTGTAGAGCACTTCTGAAACTGCTGCATCCCAATACATGGAAAAGAATTTTCCATTACATTCTGAGAAGTTCCAACAACTGTTGCTCTTTAGCGAAACAACTAAGAAATTTCAAAACTTTCTTCTCAGTGTGATTAAAAAAAAATAAGACATTTCTAGCATTTCTACAGTAGGTTATATAAAGCTTCCAACAGGATGCATTTTTTTTGCACCACCCAGTATAAGTTTACACATACAGTTATGTCCCATGCATGATGAGGAGGTAATTAAGGGGATGCAGTGTCTCTTCTTGATTTTGAAAACAAAGGTGAACTTTGTGGAGGTTAAATGAAAAGGAGGGTTATCAAATGTTGCTTTGCTTTGAATCTGTGTTTGGAAATACACCATCACACACCATTTCAAGAACATTTCTGATGTATGTATATATAGGGTGCCTGGGAAAAAAGTACACCATTATAGATTTATAAGTTTCTCAGCAACCAAACTGCCTAAAAATTTGAATAAAAAGAGTTCAATTAGTCAAGAAACATTCCTTAAATTATCAGGTGGATTGGTATCATATGATCCATAATTTGTGTCATTTTGTAGCCATTGTCAAATTTGCATGTAAGCACAACTTTTGCCCTGAAAATTACAGTACTCAGCATCTCAAAGCATCTCAATTTATTACACTGCTGAGTATTTTTCATTAAATCCTAAAAAAATACCCTTATTCAACCAAATATATAGGAAAATACAGGGTGTGGCAAAAATACCCAGACAAAAAAAGAAATTAAATAATTTTTTTGAAAATGACCAAATTTTTACAACCAGTGAGAACAAAAACAAAGTTTACAATCTCAGGATCACAATGAAATCACTTGTTTTCAAAATGGCCACTTCCTGCTTTGATGCACTGCTAGAGTCTCTTTGGAAAGTTGCCAACAACTTTGCTCACCGTCTCCAAAGATGAACTAATGTGCTGACTGTTCCTTATTTGCAATGATTCTTGCTGTTTTTGTCTGAACTGAGGTAATAAAATAAACCGTTAGGTCAATTTTCGAGATCATGTCATTAAATGATATGAATCAGGGTTCAGGTCAAACTGATCCACCTAATATTTTAATGCTCATTTCATGACTATTCAAACTCTTTTTATTCAATTTTTAGGCAGTTTGGTCTCCTGGTTGTCAAGAAACTTATAAATATATAATGGTGTCCTTTTTTTCTGGGCACCCTGTACACCATATTGGAATCAGATGAATCTATGTTGGTTCATGTAAAATAGCACAGGGTTCATCCTTCTACTCACCACCATTCTCATCTGGCAAAACTATTAGCAGGAATCAAGGTGAAATTTAGAGCATAACCCTTATATTTTCACCCTGTGGAATGATCTTAGAGAATTTACCAGTGGTGGCAAGTCCTGATTGGGGAGTGTTGGTGAAAGAAGACTTCTGAGGCATCATGTTTTCCATTGAGTGAAGCTGTGGTGCTGGAGGAGGGACGAGTTGGGGTTGATAACCACGATCCATGGTGTTTATGCCTCCGCCACCAGAGGTCTATGGGATTTTGAATGCAAGGTGAAGTCATCAACACAAAGCATCTACTTCAGCAGATTAAACTTTCAGAAGATGGAGTATCTACTTCTCCTGGTCTGAAAAAGTGGATGAATTTCACTAATACTAGCATGTACCTGGGGATAATTTGCAGGTGGAGGATAAGCTGGCAATGGTGGATTTCCATGATGCCATGGGGTCTCCCCATCATATTCTTGACCCCCATACTGTATGCCTTGAGCACCATATTGAGGGAATGATGCTTGTTGTGGTCTTGAGTTCAAGGATTCTTGAAAGAAAAAGATAACAAAACCAAAAATCTTTACTGAGCACAAAGTGCCTCCATTCCAGTTATCTATATTCCAAGTGAAAATAGACATTAAATATAAGAGCTGCCCAGTTGCTTTTTTCTTTTAAACTGCAAAAAGCCATGTCAACAGGGAACTTCTGTTACAGTGATTTTACTGTAACTTACATTGCAAGATGCAGTGTGTAGCTTTAGTTACAACATTGTAATTTATCATGGCGAAGGCATCCATGCACCTTTCTGTCCATATAATGCACAGGTGTCAGTCAATAGTGACTACTAGTTATCACCTCTTGGTAGCTACTGACAGCTAGTTCAAGATCCAATTAAAAGAACATGCCCTCAAATCTGGGACTAATGTACACTAGGAAGATTCAGGCTCACCATCCTGATAAGGTGCCCATGCGGAAGGCCCCTGTCCATTGTACCATTGACCTGGTGCAGGGTAGTTTGTCCTTTGACCATTGCCTTGATTCACACTTGGCATGTGCCTAAAAAAATAATAAGAAAGTTTTAAAATGAAACCAAGGCTAGGATTTGTTCTGATTCCATTTTCAATGACAATGTAATGACCTTACCGATTCCCAGTCAGTAGCTGATTGTCTTTATGGTTAAATATTGATCCTTTGGCAGCATGCAAGGAAAAATACACAAAGAAGCAACCAGCTAGATCATTATGGAACATGATCATGAGTGCCCATACCTGCTCTATTGGGGATCTGGGATGCAACTGGAGCACTGTACATAGATGGGAGTTGAGGGATATCTTGCACCTCATCTGAAGATTCACCCTCAATTGCTTCACCTTCTCTGCCACCACCAAAGGTTCTCCCTTTGCTGTTCCCTTTTCCTTCAACTGATTCTCCAATGTCCACTTCAGACAAAATAAAAAATAATTTACTTCAACTTGCTACAGGTAAAATGGAATATGCACAAAGACACTTGAAGGACAACATTAAAAAAATCAATTAAAGCTCTACTGCTCACTTAAAATAATAGTAATAGAGGCAACTATGTGTCTATAAGCATTACAAGTTCATAACAGAACTAAAGAATGTCTGAAATAGGTGTGGTCTACCAAAGTAACTTTAAATGATGCAGAGGCAAGCCTCACCTGAGCGGCATTGTTGGTCTGCACTTTCATCTGATCCATCAGCACATTGCGGGATGCCATCACAAACATTATAAATGGCAATGCATTCAGTTGAATTCTTGCACTGAAATTCAACATCTGAGCAGTGATGACCTACAAATGATTGAACATCATGTAAGGGGCCAAAGAGTCAAATGCAGGTGATCCTACACAGCTTATCAGTATCTCTACCAATCATACATATGAGGTTCTGAAATGCCTCTCTCAAGTACAAACCATCATAAAAGTGAATGATGCTTCCTTTTAAGTTCAACTGAATGGATTGATGAATGGTTCTGAAATTTCCAGATGATGTAAACCAAAAAGCAGGCTAGTTGAAGCACACAGCTCACTTTCAGTGGTGGATCCAGGGGTTGGGTCTCCCCACAAAATTTTTGATTCATCCATCCTTTTTGAGGTGCTTTACCTCATAGGAAATAAGCCTAAAACATTGACAATATTTTTGGTCTTCACAAATCCAAAGCATCATCCTTCCCCCAATTAAAATTCATGCCATTGCCATCTTTGCAAACTAATCAAAAGTTGAGAAGCTATCAGCTTTGAGCTCATTTCTCACATACAGTTTCGAAATTGGCTTTTGGAAAAGTGGGGAGAAAAGGGAGACACTTTTGATATACCTCTTCTAATGACAACTCAATTTCTTTTTTTTCTTTATGAAAATGTTATGATTTTAACAACAAAAAGCACAGAATCATCATCAGTAGTCCTTCTTGGGAGCTTCTTGTCCACCAGTTCTAATTTCAAGGAATTTAATTTACCATTCCCCATGAGAGAGAAAATAATCATGTTTGGAAGATGGTTACCTGGAAAATTTGTAGAAAATATCCCTAATGCCTTCTACATTATTCTCAAAGGCAATGACCCATGACAGTTTTTTATTTTTGCTCAATGGTATTTCATGCATAACCAAGACAGAAAAATTCATACCTTCAATATAGGGAGATGTGCAAAGAATCATTTCAAACTATTTTGATATGGTCAACTAAAATTGTTCCATAAAAATATATTTCCAAATAAATATGTTATAATTCAATTAAAGGGTAATACTTCAAAATGTAACAAACATTATGTAGGTCCCTGCCAAAATGCAAGAGGTATTGCAATTCAAACATGTATTAAGGTTTATGAAACACCCTGTAAATACTTGGTTGAAATGAGCAGTATGGCAAGTACATCAATGCTGAATGCATAAATATCATAGGTTGAGAATGCAAAATAATTGCTAGGATCAGCTCATAATATAAACTTTAGAAAGAGATAAGTGAGAATGAATTCTGAAGGAAAAGAGACAATGAAAGGACCCTTCAGAGGCTTAGAGCAGGGGTGTCAAACTCGATCAAGCTGGGGGGCGGATGGAACCCTTCAGGGGTGGTTGGGGGCCACACTAATAAACCTTAAACCAAATTATTAATCTGAACTGGTTGAAATCTCAGTGCTTTTCCAAAACCAACAAGTGAAATGGACTATGTGGGCTAGACAAATGAACCATTGGGCTGGATCCAGCCAGTAGGCCGCAGGCCAGATCCAGCCAAATTTGACACCCCTGGCTTAGAGCCTCACATTCCACTACCCACTATTTAAATTTTCAAAGGTCAAGCAGGGTTTTTGAGAATCACATTAGGAAAGGAAGCAAAAAATGATTAACTTTAAGATTATGAGCAAAAAAATGAACCGGGACAGTCAAAGTGTTTCTCACTGAGTGATTGAGAGAGTAACTAACATGCTCCAAATCTTGAATCCAATTGGAAGAAAGATAGAAATGGAATATCATTGGCAACAATATCATAGCCATAATTATTACTAAATAAAAATTACAATGTATATAAATAGGCATTCTATTTCATCTATTCAATACAAGAACTAACCCTGTCTTTTCCATCTTGAAGTAATTCTTCTAAGTATCATACTATTGGTTCTTTATCATCACTAGAGAGTACAAAAGTTCATAATCACCCTTGACTTTCCCTGGCAAATGCTGGGGCATTTCAAGATTTGCTTCCCATGACATGCCCTAAGAGTGTGCACTTAAAAAACTGCACAATAGCAAATGGGTTTATCATTGCTAGCTTGCCAAGCAAAGACCATCCCATGATGCAAATTATTGGGAAGCATCACAACTCTTCCATTCAGGATGAAACCATGAAAAAAACTGGTACCTAGTTAAGTTGAGATTAATGCTACACCAATTGCACCTTGCATTTACAAATATAAATTTAAAAACTGAATAATGAATTGTACCATTTGCTTTTACTGGTGAAGGGGCAGAAGTAACCTTGAAATCATTCTCCATTGTAGAGGCTGGATCTGGTTTCTTCCCACTCCTGAAGAAAAAGGGATAAAAACCAGATGTATGGTATAAACAATCTCTTAAAGGGACACACCAACGACAATGCAAATTCACCTCAACTTGCTTAGATCCTCTGCATGTTTCCCTTGGCTGTCTTTAATATCCTGCTCGTAACCTTCACGGCTCTTCTTCATCACTCCACTAGTGTACATGTTCAGAGGAGTGAAGGTACACTTGAAATCATCTGGCGAACCACAATCAAAGAGATAGCAGCCTCTGGAACCCTGCTTGAAAGAGACAATTACAACTCAACAGACTGCCAGCAAGTGCTACTTGGAAAAATGACATTCTCCAGAAGCATTCCAAAAGAGTGGACTATATAAGCAAAATCAGACATGAACTAGAATTACATTTAGTTATTTGCCTCAGCAAGGTACAGAACACAAAATATTGCCTGACCTTTTCCTCATACACTGCTACATTGCAATGGGCCACTTTGCAGCAGAGCAGAAGGCAATCGTCACCACTTGGTAGATCGGTTTCATTCAAATATTTCGCACCCACGGCTCGAGACTCCTCCGTTCTGATGATAGTATTCCTGGTTATTTCAAAGTGATCATAGCACATTGTTTCTTCAGAAACATGGGGATTTGAGAGCACATCTGCCACAAATGTGCTTTTCACAAGTGGCAAAATCAAGGTCGCTATAAGATTTGAGATCATGCTTGGGCCCGATGACTTGAAGGACCTTGGCGCAGATATTATGTGTGGTTGGTCCTTCAATCTGACATTAGGTCACATTTATAACTGTGAATTTCCTCTGAAACAAAGGTCCGGCAGCCTTTATGCGAATACTCCAAGAAGTTGCATCATGATTATGTTAGGCCTAGGATAAGATTACCAAGCTCTATGAATAAGCGCAGGCTAGGTTAAGTCCAGCAGCTAAAATCAACTCCGCAGCTCTTTCGAAGCCGACGTGGTAGCGACGGCAGCCCTATGACACCAACCAGACAAACATGGCGACGGGTTCGTCATGAGAACCACGTGAACCATCGCATGAATCGTCCCGGGCCTACAGGCACGAGTGTTTCATATTCCTATGCAGTATCCACTAAATCAGTCTAGGTTGCTCAAGAAAAGGCAATGCAAAGTTTTTAATTCTCTGAAATGGAACTCTTGGAGCTATGAAAGTTTATTTTTAACACATCATGCCAGTGGGCTTAGGCCTGTTCAGCTGAAAGTTGGCCAGGCGCGGTTGGTTAACCGTCCGCGCGGAAAGTAGTCCCATCAACTGTCCGCACATCGTTGTTGCGGAGAGTAAGCCGACCCGCGGAGAGTAGGCTGCTAGACCTATGCCTTAGCCTCAGCTTAATATTGGGCTGAGTGAAAGGTTTAAGGATGAACCTGAATGAAACCAACCTGACA